GAAGAGAAGCAGAGCGGCGCCAGAGAGAGCCCAGATAGAGTGAAGATTTGCTGGGGGCTGGGAAGAATGCCTCCTGGACCCTCAGCACCCCAGTCTGCCATATGCCTGGTAAATCTAAATAAAAGACCTGCAAAAACCACTGAGGACTCTGACTCCTCCTTTACCCGGTCTGCTGGATCAGAAAACCTGCTCTGTGGTCTTCCTGTCCCTACAGCATGTTTGCCATTTGAATACTGGATTTGTTCAATTGCTGGTGTAAGACAAGATTCTAAGTTTCTGCTTTCCTACTGAGGAAGATCTGTTGTGGAAAGCACTTTTTATGGTGCATCAAGTAACTGTACCGGGTTTTCATACCTGTGTTACTGTTGTCCCTCCCTGGTGTGGGAGAGGTGTAGTCTGTGCTTAGATGTTGAATCTGCTCTTTCAGCTTCTGTCCCAGAGCAGTTAACAGAAGTAAGGAGATGACTCCTTTTAATTGAAAGTTAATTGCTGCTTTTTTGATTTTTCTTTTTCTTTTTTAAAGATTTATCTTATTTATTTATCTTATTTATTTATCTTATTTATTTATTTATTTATTTATTTATTTATTTATTTATTTATTTATACAGGCACTGGGTACAGTCAGAAGTGCGGGAGGGTGGGAGAATTCACCAGAGCCAGAGGGGAGAGCAGAGCAGGCAGAGTCATGAAGTACACTGCTGAGGGGAGCAGTGGGCGGCAGGAGAGGTCTGCGCACCATGTGGGATCCTCTCCCAGCAGCTGGGGATCGAACCGGCGCTGCAGAGACTGTGGGCAGCTTCGCAGGGCAGCACTCAACTGCTGTGCCACTGGGGCAGCCCTGTTTTGCTTTTTTCAGGTTCTGTTCCAGGAAACCCAAGTATTGCCAAGTATTGCTTGGTGGCTAACAAGAGATGACTCCTTTTGCTTAAAAGTTATCTTGATTTTGCTCTTTCAGCTGCTGTACAGAATATCCCAAGATTGGCTTCTAATAAAAAGTCTTAAACACTGAAAACACTAAAATGATATACAAGGTCATGTAACTCTTATGATTATTAAACCTTTTTCCTCCTATTTCCAAAGCCTTAGGTTTGTAGGCTGACAACTGGAAACTGATTTCTGCCATGAACACTCCACATTTTTTTTGGCTTTGATATTTTTTTCTAAGCCTATGGAGTAAACTGCAGTTACATAAGCTATTCCACATGGCATAACTAAAAGAACTGTCTTTGTCTACATGTTGTATGTCTGTATGTCCTTGTGTCTGTCTTGGCCTCTAGAGGTTGAAAAAAAAAATTGGTATACATGGTGCCTATAGACACAGGGAAAAAAAGTCTCCAGTTATGAGGAAAAACTAAAGGTTATGGCTTGATTGTCAACATTGTACTACTGAACTAAGCCAGTGCCTTCATAGAGATTGAATATTGTTGTTGCTGTTTTCTGATGTTTATGGCAAAGCTTCCCAGAAATATAGATTCAAGTAAAAATTTGGTAGTCTGTCATTTGGTTGATCTAAGGAAATTTTGTGGAACCTCAGTAGATCTCCTGAGATACTCCACAAAGTTTCTCCCTTTTCTCCTGGGAAAGGCATTAGATGAATTTGTCCTATTTGGTTTAACTAGTAGAGTGAAACTAGAAGGGAAGCATTGTCACTTGGGAAGATGGTAAAACTTTGACATGTACAGAAATGTTACCATTGGTTTTCTAAAACATGTATACAACCTCTCAGTACCTGATATGTATGTAAATTGTCAGTGGTGATTGTCGCCTTGTCATATTGTATACTTAAATTGTTTGTCATCTAGGGAAATTGTTTCTTTCATCCTTAAGTTTTTGACTTCCTCATTACTTTCTCAGGAACGTATTGTGTAGTTTTCTAAACGTCTATAGCGGGCCTCCCTGGTGGAGCAAGGGGTTAAGCACAGCACTGTGAAGGTATCAGCAGCCTCTGCTACTCGTCTGCTGCTCCCCTCAGGAGTGTATTTCAGTCAGTCTGTCTGTTCTGTTCCCCACTCTTGTCTCTGGTGAATCCTCTCACCCCCTGCACCTCTGGCCTGTGCCCCAGTTCTTGTATGCATAAATAAATCTTAAAAAAAAAAAGTCTATACCTGTGTGATTCCATTATTCTGCTATAATATTTTTCATCAAGGTCAATATTGACCAAATCAAGTCATTCAATAGCATTTTATCAGTACATATAACTTGGACACATTGGAAAAATCTTTACTGGGGAGGTCCTCTCCTCTTGCCACCTCTGACAGTCTTTTTTTTTTTTTTTTTTTAATAGAGGCATGTTTTTATTTATTTGTTTGTTTTGTTTATACATGCACTGGGTACAGTCAGAAGCGCGGGAGGGTGAGAGAATTCACCAGAGCCAGAGCGGGGAGCAGAGCAGGCAGAAGTGTTATAGGACAGGGAGAGGGGCAGCCCAAACCCCGCAAACCTGCCTATTCTAAATGGGTTCTGCCATCCGCCGCATCAACACAAAACATATGAGACTTTAATGAAAAGGAACTTTAATAAAACTAGGAAACCATACAGGAAAGGCAAAGAGTCTAGTTTCTAAATGAAGCACCCAAAGTTACCCGTCCCCTCGTGGGTAAAAGTCCATCCATATGGGATTGGCCCAGAGCAAGGCCCCAAAGCCTGCCACAAGTCTAAAGCATCTTCCAGTGGGGACCCACAGCAAAGGGTCACAAACAACCAGACAAGCCTGGAAGGAAAAGAGCAAAATCAACATCAAGATAAAAGCTGCCATTGTCACCTCCCCACGGGTCTCACCCACATCTGTGTCACCCCGTCCACGACCAAAAGACAAGCGCAGTTTCTTCACGTGTCTCTAGGCTCCATGCGCCTCCTCCAAGTCTCCTTGCTCCATCCTGCTTCCTTCCTCCGTCCCTTCCTGCAGCTTCTTCTCTTCCTGCTCAGCTCCACTCTCTCTTGGGTGGGGCAGGGAACCTCCCCCTTTCCTGGGGACCACCCTGTTGCAGAGGGACTGAAGTACACTGCTGAGGGGAGCAGCGGGCGGCAGGAGAGGTCTGCGCGCCATGTGGGACCCTCCTCTGGTGGCCGGGGAGCAGCCGGGGATCGAACCGGCACTGCAGAGGCTGCGGGCAGCATCGCAACCCAGCGCTCAACCACTGCGCCACTGGGGAGGCCCATCTCTGACACAGTCTTGATTGGCTTCTCTTCATCCACCTTGAAATGATGGCAACTGCAAGGTCTGTTTTGTATTCTTTCCTTTTCCAACATCACATCTCATTTGGGATCATACTACAGAATTACCACGGGATATTTTGCAAAACAGATGTACTGCGCCCATCTCTGCTACCTTGGTGGTCCACAGGAGGACCAGGCACCTGGATTTTAATCTAACTCCTTTAAGAAAGGCATGCATTTCAGCATAATATTTTTAGTGTTCCTAAGAACAACGTGGGACTTGATATGAATGGAGATTCCCGAGAAAGGCTGACCTACACCATCCTATGATGAAATTTTTTTTAAAAAGATTTATTTATTTATTTATTTATTTATACAAACACTGGGTGCAGTCAGAAGCACGGGAGGGTGAGAGAATTCATTACAGCCAGAGCGGGGAACAGAACAGGCAGACCGATGAAGTACACTGCTGAAGGGAGTAGCCGGCGGCAGGAGAGATCTGCGCGCCATGTGAGACTCTCACCCGATGGCCGGGGATCAAACCGGTGTGCCGCAGAGGCTGCGGGCAGCTTCACAACCCAGCACTCAACCGCTGCGCCACTGGGGAGGCCGTGATGAAATACTTTTAACAAAACCCAAGAACCATTTTAACTCATACTATGCAAAATTATGGTTTATATTGTAAATATATTACCAAGGCATACAACAGTGTCCCAGCTCTCCTTTTAAAAATTGTATTCTCTTTTTTCATCAGTGTCTTGTTAAGGCCCTAATCTTTAGCATTTTCAAAATTGCATGATGGGCAAATTCTTCAGTTTTTAATTAAAAGCATTTCTCAGTCTAGATTATTATCAACAATATATCTAATATATTAATGCTATACATACTCAAAAAATTTTTATTTGTTGAACACATTTGTTTAAATGTGTTCTCTTTTAAAATTCAAAAGTTTTTCAATTTATTTTTAAGACCATGTAAGAAACATAACATTAAAAGTTTATTTTTGGGCCTCCCCGGTGGCACAGCGGTTGAGCACTGGGTTGTGAAGCTGCCCGCGGCCTCTGCGGCACCAGTTCGATCCCCGGCTGCTCCCCGGCCACCAGAGGAGGGTCCCACATGGGCGCAGACCTCTCCTGCCGCCCGCTGCTCCCCTCAACAGTGTACTTCGGTCCTTCTGCCTGCTCTGCTCCCTGCTCTGGCTCTGGTGAATTCTCTCACCCTCCCGCGCTTCTGACTGTACCCAGTGCATGTATAAACAAACAAACAAACAAATAAAATAAATAAATAAAACATGCCTCTATTAAAAAAAATTTAAAAATTAAAAAAAAAACAGTTTACTTTTAATGTCCAATAATTAGCACCTGGGATAGATAATAATCGTTCAAATGGATTTGATGAATGTGTGCAATAATCAAAGGAATTACTCCCATTTGCCAGAATTTTTTTTCATATGTGTGATAGTTCATTTGCTTATTTGGCTGCTTGGTTTCTACTGTATGGTTGTATATACACTCTGTTCATAAAATTCCCTTATTACTTGTATGACTTGGAGAGTAGTAGCTGTGTTTATAAATACATTTTCCTCTCTGTCTCTTTTTCTTTATTCTTTCCTACCTCCTTTGTTCCTTTACTTTTTCTCCTTCCTTCCATCTTTCTTTCCTGTCTTAACTTTCCTTTCTATATTCCCTCCCAGTATACATCAAGGTGCAATTTGTAAATTACCTGAGAAGAGATATGGGGAAATGAGAGAAGGAAGAAAAAGGTGGACAAATATGATGAAAATAAGTAAAATCAAAAGAAAATAAGAGTGTTGTCAAAATCAGAGATCCCCAAGTTCAAAAAGACTATTTTGCTAAAATTTTCCTGAGAGCCCCCTTAACATCCTTGTTCCTGAGACTGTAAATGATGGGATTTAGCATGGGTGTCACTGCTGAGTAGAACACAGAGATCATTTTGTCCTTTTCATTCATTATCTTGGTGTTTGGCCTCATGTAGGCAAATATTGCTGAGCCATAGAAGAGGATGACAACAATGAGATGGGAGCCACAGGTAGAGAAAGCCTTGAGCCGGCCCTCCCCCGACTGCATCCGGATCACAGTGGAGATGATATTCCAGTAGGAGACCAAGATCAGGGAGACCGGCGCTAAGAGGATGACCACCCCCATGGCAAAGATGGCCATTTCTGTGCTGTAGGTGTCAGCAGATGCCAGCTTTAGGAGGGCAGGAGGCTCACAAAAAAAGTGGTTAATGATGTTGTTACCTCGGTAGGGGAGACATAATGTGAACGTGGTGTCCACCAGAGACACAAGTGCCCCACTGACCCAGGACCCGACGGCCAGCTGGACACACACCCAGTGGGTCATGATAGTGGAGTAGTGCAGGGGCTTGCAGACAGCCACATAGCGGTCATAGGACATCACTGCCAGCAGGGCGCACTCCGTGCATCCTGTTAGAAGTAAAACCACTATCTGTGTTGCACATCCAACAAAGGAAATGGTCTTCCTCTTTGCCAGGAAGTGGACCAGCACCTGGGGGACTGTGGTGGTCGAAAAGCAGAAATCAGCAAAGGACAAGTTTCTAAGGAAAAAGTACATGGGTGTATGGAGTCTGGAGTCCACATGAATGAGCACGATGATGAGCAGTTTTCCCAGCACAGTCAGCAGGTAGATGACCAGGAAAAGGAAGAAGAGCAGGATTTGTGTTTGTGGATCCTGTGAAAGGCCCAGGAAGACAAATTCAGTCACATGGCTTTGGTTGTCTTCTCCCATGAATATCAATGAATATGACTATTCTTCATAGGGCAGCAAAAGAAAAGAAAGAATAGTTGTCAGTTACTTTTCTTAAAATTTGATTAACTTAGTTATTTTATGAACCAGAATCCAATAGATTTTTATCTATTAGCACTATACATGTCAGAAAACAGTGTTCTCTTTGCATTTAGTATTTCTTCCACTTGAAAATAATTTCAGATTTGATAAAATGGTGGCATTTGGGACAAAGTCAATGTACCTCAAGGTGATTATGTTGAGTGAAATAAGTAAAAAAGTGAAGGACAGATATCAGATGGGTCACTCATATTTAGAATATAGACATCTGAAAAAAGCATATATACACAAAGAATAGTGGGGCTAAATCTTGCACTCAGCAAAAAGAATATAGTGGTTACCAGAGAGAACAGGGAGAAGAGAGGAGAGAATGGGATGGGAGGCTGATGGGGATTGGGAACAGGGCTTCTTGCGGAAGATGAAACATATATATATAATATATAATATATATATTTGGTGTCACAGAACATGAAATACAGAGAAACCAAAAACAAAAAAGACTGGGTAATCTGTGTAGTTTTAACACCACCGTCACACACACACACACACACACACACACACACACAGAGAAAAGTACAAAAAGAGAAAGATAAAGCACTTGATTTGAGGGGAAATAGGAAGCACCAATGGCTCTGCATGAATAATATAAATGCTTCTGTTACCAAAAAGTGCATATAAATCAATAAATCAAGCTGTGACAATTGACAAATCACGTCAAAAACAAAGTTTGGTTATATCATTTATCATACAGAATACATCCCATACAATTAATGATGTGTGTCTGCATTACACTCAGACACACATGTACACATATTTACAGAACATTAGACATTTAATTAAGGAGATTAACCTTTGGCCTCATGTGGTGGAAGACTTTTCTGTATAACAACAAAAGTTCAAACGAGAGAGAAAATCATTGATACATTTGACTGCAAAAATTTTTTACATAAAAATGTGTATGAACTACTAGATAGCAAGGAAACACAATTCAAAACCACAATGATACATCATCTCCCACCTTTTAGGGTACTATTATCAAAAAGACAAAAAATAACAAGTGTTGACCAGATTGTGAATAAAGGGAATCCTTGTATCAGTTGGTTGGAAGCAATTGGTAGAGGTATTATGGCAAAGTGTGAAAGTGCCCCCCCAAGAAACTAAAACTAGAACTACATTTGATTCAGCATTTCCAAAAACAAACTTTGAAAATATGGAAAAAAATGAAAACAACTTATGTGTACATCAACAGATGAGTAGACACAGCAGGTATGACAAACAGAGATACAGAAAGAGAGTGATATCCTCAATGAGTTATTAGTATTCAGTAAGTGTACACACATATTAATATGTTATTAGGCTCTGAAAAAGAAGAAAATCCTGTAATTTGTGATATGAATGAAGCGGGCGGACATTATGCTAAGTGAACTAAGTCAGACACAAAAAGTCACATACTAAATGGTCTCACCTATATATAGAATCTAAATGTTAAACCTCACTGAAGAAAAGAGTAGAATGCTGGTCACAAAGGATTGGGCTAGGGAAAATGAGGAGTTATTGATCAGATGGCACAAAATCTCACTAATGCAGGATCGGTGATATCTGGAGATCTAGTGGATGGAAGGCTAGCTATAGTTATTAGATCTAAATTGTTATAATCAAAACAATTTATAAAGAAAAATCATATGAGGTGATGGATGTTAATTAACTGGTAGTCATTTCACAATGTACATATATACCCAGACATCACACTATATACTTAAAAGTATGCAATTTTATTTTGTTTATGCCCCAGTAAAGTCAGAGAATAAACCTCTTCATTTCCAAAAAACAAAATTTGAAAATAACAATAACATGGAAAAGTAAATCTGAAACATGTAGCAAATAAGGATTAATATCCTTGCCACATAAAATGTAAAGGTAAATTAATAGGAAAATAAATTATGAATACTGCAGGAGAAAATGTGTGTACATGAATTCAACATTCATAAATAAATTGCAATCTCAGTACAAACAAAGGCAAATAGAGTAGATGCCTTTTTGCTCACCAGATTGGCATGAATGTTAAAAATTTATAATATTCAATAATAGCGAGTGTTTCTATTGATAGAAATAAGTTATTAATGAAATGAAAGACAGTGTGTGAATAATTGGAAAATTCATTCACACTTGTGACAACAGCTGTTTGGGAAATTTTGGAAAAAAACAATTGTGTTTCACCCAAATAAAAATACTTTTTTCCCCTCTGAGGCTGATAAATCAAAATCTCCTGATTGCAGAGAAAATATCCTGCTTGGGAAATCAAACGCCCTGACTTAAGTTGCCTTGACTGCCAAACACAGCCTGGGACCTGGAAATACAAAGCTCTTCACATCCCTCACACTCCTTCCTTTCTAATATGACCACAGCACTCACACATTCCACATGTCAAAATATTAGGGTGCTAACCCGATAGCGTATTCCCTCGATGGCCATCTCATGCAATAAACTTCTCCATGTAAAGACATTTCTCACGGTTCAGAGTTTGCCTTTCTTGGCAAGAGCAAAAGACCCTGTTGGTTGGTTGTTTACATCTGCATGATCACTGGCTGCAAGAGAGTGAGTGCACTGACTGCCACTCACAAAAAAGGGGGAATCCAGGGTGGCAGGTGCCAAGACACCAGGGTCTGTGTACCCCCATACAGAAGAGCGTACTCAGCCTTGTGGGGTCCTCCAGGGATGTCTGACCATGAGAAGATCTACCTGAGCCCCTCCAGGTAGAGGTCAGGCTTCCTCCTGGTCCTGCCCTCTCCCCGTGTCCAGACTGAAGTGGCTAGAAGGAGTGAGGGAGGAAGTCCTGAGGTAGAGCACCAGACAGCCGGGGCAGAGATGGTTATAGTCCTAAGGCTGATAATCTTTGTGTGCAAAAGAAGAGGCAAAGGGTGTCCACAGCCCGAGCACTCACTCTAGTGTGTCAATAACTTAATCCCCCCTCAGAGGACTTGCAGAACAGGATTCATGAGACTATTACTTAGGAGAAACAGCAAAAATAGAATATATATTCTCTCTAGAAGCCAGATGGAAAGAAGAGAGTGGAAAGCCAAGCCCAATGAGCAGAATCACCTTCTCAGAAGGAAAAGAAGGATTAATTGCCCCTAGTCATCCACCCAAGCTCACCTAGGGGGCCAGAGGAAAATGCAGGGTCTTGGATGAAGGAAGGAAGGTGTGGCTTTTAAGATCTGCTAATCCACATCCTTAGAGGCAACCTCCCCAGCCATTTACTAAATAATATGAAGGTTGGGACATTCCATGCATTCAGAGTCTCATTCTATTCCAAGGACAGAAGCCCCATTTTATTAAAATCAAATTCACTAAGGAAGCAGTCTGAAGAAGTTTTCCTGGAAGGAAGTGTTTAAACCTGAAGTCCTAAAAGCCATTGTAAACAAGCCATTCCCTGGAGCCATGAATGCAGTTAACATTTTTTAAAGTTTCTGCAGTGAGAGTTCCCTGGGGCATTTTTATTGTGTTCACAAACTAAATTAACTGAATCTCATCTTCTGATGTCAGGAAATATGCTACTATTTCGCAAGCCAATCTCTGTGTGTGTGTGTGTGTGTGTATGTGTATGAACCTGTCTTAACCATCAAGTCTTTGTTGCAGCACTTAACATTCTGGGGCAAGGAACGAGAATCTCCTCCTTTTGTGGAGTTTACTCTTGAGACTATGTGTGAACTTACAGCATTTCTGATTTTTCCTCATATAACATGGGTAGGGGTGTTTCTGTTCCAGTGCTTCACTCTCACATGCCTGCACTGCTGTTCCTACAAGATAGTCAGAGACAGGAAAAGCCCAGCATAACCTCTAGGGCTTCACCTCCATCCCCACAGTCCTCATGAAGGCCACCCTCTCTGCCCTGGGCTGCTGCAGTAGCGCTCACCCTGACTGATTGCTCTGATCCTCCACGGTGCCACCTACAACCCACTCTGCAAGCAGCAATCAGGGGGATCTTTTCAAACTATGATTTCAGAAATGACTTTCTCTGAACATAAAATAAAATCATCACTTTTTGAGGATTGCCAATCAGGTAATAGATTGAGTTGTGTCATGCAACTAGCATTGGACACTCAGGAGAGGCCATGGACTTGACGATACAGTAGCCAGAATCGTGGCTGACACGGTTCACTAATAACATGACATTTTGTGTCATTCTTGATACTTCCTGAAGGCCATTACTGAGTTAGCCTCATTCTTCCCTGGAGACAGGAAAGCTTGCAAATGACTGTGTGATGATGGGTGATGATCAGGGGATACATGTAAGTGTTGAGTGAAGTACATGGTCACGGGCATGCTTGTGTCAGGAGGAAGGGGACCCTGGGGGCTAATGACAGGGCTGTGAGGGTCCCAGCTGTGCTTTCATGGCTCAGCAGCCCTGCACCATGGAAAACTGGTAGTGATTCCACAACCAGTGAGGTGTTGGGCTAATTCCCATTCATTTCTGGGTTGGACATATTTAGTTGAGGGCAGGGGAGGGGACAGCAATGGATCTTCAGAGAAAGAGGCATGCACTGTGCAAGCTTAATATTGGTCAGAGGCCATTGCCATGTCACTGTGGTGTTTCCACTGCAGCAGAGGGTGATAGCAGTCAGTTCAGGAGTCTTTCATCCCACAACACAATCTCCATTTTTGGGATGGTTTCATATTTGTCAGCCATTCTCTTCTTTTTTTCCAAGGAACTTCAAGGGCACTGGCACAACCAGCCTGCAGAAAAGTGGAGAAGACGTGCCTGAGCAAACACTGTGGTGTGTGGTGTCACCCGGGCTTGTGACCTGAGAGTTCTGGGCAAGTGGCTTCTTGTCTTGTTCCTTTGAGCCACACATTGTCTTTTAGAAAGAAGAGAGTTTCATATGTCAAAATGTTTTCTGGAATACATTCTTTACCTTGTTGTCTAAGACCACATAACTTTCTCT